TAAATATGATCCGGGAGTAATTAAAGCATTTTGTTTTAAACGGGATCGCCATTTCTACAACATGGCGAGTCATGTGATGTTGTTATCATCCCAGATAGTTGCAGAAGGCTTATAACTATTTACATATAAATGGAACTTTTTTGTATAGTGTTGTAAATAGCACTCTCTGTGTGTGACTTTGTACAAGAGACCTTATAACTGTTATTCCTGTGTGTTCCATATTAATTGACACTCGCTCATATTGGCCCGTAAACTTCTTGGTTACACCCGGTTTAATTAAAACATATTAATCTGATTACGTTTTACAAAAAGGGGAATGTACTGTGACGATATCTGTATTTCTGAGTACCACCTGTTTGGCAGCACAGACGACCATTCAGAAGAAGAATAATGGTTTACTGAATAACAAACACTTTGATGTCGGGGCTTTGTTTTGACTACCTAGAGCATGTTAGTCTTGAATCTCATATTGCAGGCACGCAGGCAAGTGAAGGCAGTATGGAACAACGAGACGAGTCACTTCGAGACGATTATTCAATGATATGGTTTGTTTTCTCTGCACATCATCCCATACCCCGTGGGATAGCAACCATGTGATTAATTGGCCACGTCATGTCGGAATGACCAGATTAATCAAACCACACTCAACTTTATTTGGCCCACGTATAATGACATTGAATTGAATGTCTTGCCACATCAGAACAGCATTGTTTTCATGTGTGTTACTTTCAATAGTAAGCAATGCATACTTGGGTACATACAGATAGAACAGAGATGGTCATCTACAGCTTCAGATTCAAAACGTATTTTAATGGGGGAAGACAAATGTTGCTAGAGCTAGAGAGTCAACCCAAGTGTTGGATGGGTCTAGCTCAAAGTCAACAAATACAATTAGACAGAGAGTTTTCATCCCGCCTATTCACCTAGTTCATACCCACCATGGACTCTGGTTAGTTAAAAGGCCTGTTTTGAATTGTAGGCATTATCTGCGATTCGGCCAATGACAGAGAGGGAAATCAAGGTCAGGGGAACCCCCTGACCTCATAGATTGCAGGTTCCGAGCGAAACAGTAAATACCCGAAATGAAGGGTGTCCCACCCCGGGAAAAAATGTACTTATGACTGCCACGTAGCTAAGACACCTTGTCAGTCTCATCCCTATAGTAAAAGCATACTGCTGATAGGTAACGGGGTCGGAATTCTCCAAGGACGCTAGACACAAACCCAATTCTGGGGGTAACTAGTATTCCAAAACCAGGAGCCTGAAACAGTTCTGCATGAGGGGCAAAGGCCAAAACCGAGACCAGTGAATATCTGTACATATTGATGTGAGAAACTTCTCCAGATACTGCTCTATCGCCTATGCACAGGGATCCTTGTGGTCGTCCGGGCTGGGCCAACAACGGTATCCAGCAACGACGGTACCCACCCTAAAACACTTTTCTCAATGGATTGCATGTCTCTTGATTGGTAATAATTGATAAAGATGTTTTGCGTTATCCAGAAGCCTGTCCTAAGTACGTATTCAAGGGGGAACCTGATGCAAGAGCTAATGTCAAACACTGTCGAAGTGATCCACCTAGATTCGGAAATCGTGGGGGCTGGTGTTATATATCTGATCGGAGTATTAAACCTTAATGAATTTATACAAAGCACTCAAATTATAGACAGGGAGTATGCCATAGTTAGGAATTGTTTGTTAAACGTTTTACATGTTCAAATAAGAATAATTTAAGTCAACAGCGTTATAATATGGGTATACGGGACATAGAATTATAATTTTAGATCATAAGCTGGTTTATGCACATTTGTAAAATTGTATTTGCTTTCATAATATCTTCATCCAGTTGCTTGTGAAGTATTCCGTATGGTTGCGATGATATCTGCCTTCCTATTTGGTTTGAACACATGCAAGCCTCTTCGAAGTCAGTGTTAAATTGAGAAACCTCAACATTCTGTTTAAATGATTTAGTGGATTGTTACTCAAATCCTCGTAGTGTACGGTCAAAAGTCGTTTTTTTTTACTCAACCCACGTCACAAGAAGACTCAACCACCTCTGACGTTGCTTGTGAAAAAAGTCAATCCAGTCTGCATCTGCGAAACAGCATAGTATATCGAAGTAACAGATTAGTAACTTGGATGCATTGTAAATAATGCACACAAACAAGCGTAAAGATTTTATATATAGAAGCCGCACAATATCACAAAAGGCAATGTACGGTTTGTACTTGATATTTAGAAATTTAATATACTCACTGGTTTTGAAAACTTCTATGGTAAGAGTGGGATTCCCCATAAATCCATACTTTTTAAATAGGTAAAATGATATAAGAGAATCATAAGGGTTTGAACTGCTTGAATTAGTACAAATTAATCTTCTTAGCTAGCTCGGATGACTGTGCCATCTTTATGAACAATCAAGCTGTGCTATAGACATGAATTGATTGAATTACTCGCCAAGGACCAAATCCTCGGGCACGATCCTCAGCCGATTGTCATTCTCCGTTTGGTCAATATCGCACTGAGACAAGCGCACGCAGTTCATGCGATCGCTAACTCATTAGCTCTTGCATCAGGCGCCCCTTGAACGCGTATTTAGGGCAGGCTTCTAGAGAATGCAAAACGTCTTTATCAATTATTACTATTTAAGATACATGCAATCCATTGAGAAAGGTCGTTTAGGGTGGGTACCGTCGTTGCTGGGTACTGTTGTTGGCCCAGCCTGGACGACCACAGGAATTCCTGTGCATAGGCGATATAGCAGTCTCTAGAATGTCAGCAGCGTTACATGGCAAGTAAAAAGGATATACCGGTTTTAGCTGAAAACCCCCTCAAAGGTCTAAACGAAATTATGCACCAAGTTTGATGATGGAGGCGTTTACATCATGTAAGCAGAGTTCAAACAAGAGTATATACAAGACTCGTAACGATGGCGCTCTTGCAATATACTGTGACATACAAAATATAATATGGTTCAAACAGTATCAAATGTTATGTTAAATAACATGGGGAAGTTTTGCCGATTTATATACTACATTTTTGTTGACATTTTGGGCAAATCGTAAAACCCTTCATAAATAAGTGGGATTAGTGGGGAGTTAACAATAACCTATACCTGCCAAGTGTGACAACACATAAATATATTCTAATTTCTGATGCATTATTTCGATCTTTCAACGTCATGTTTTGGCTGTTCATCCACTTTCCTAGCACCGCCACCGACTTACGAAACCAATTATTCCATTTTTTGCATCTTTTCGTGTTTAAAGATGTAATGGATGGTATAATTAAACTTGAAAATGACGTGGTAAATTCGTTGTAACAATGTAATGCTGGTGATATTAGCATAGTAATGACTAATAAGAATATTGTATGAGTTTACAAACAAGTGGGATATAAATATCAACTTAAATAAAACTAAAATTGTAGTATACAGAAATGGGGGATATCTCAGTAAATATGAAAAGTGGTACTTCGAGAACAATCAACTTAGTACTGTTAGTTCATATGAATACTTGGGATTGATAATGTCATGTAAATGCTCTTTTAATATTATAACAGAAAACTTAGCTATAAAAGGCAAAAAGAAATTGATTGCAATCAAATGATACTCAGGAAATATGCAATGTTTTAAAGCAGACTTGTATTTTAAGATTTTTTGGCACCTTAATTCAACCTGTACTTACATATGGGTCTGAAATTTGGGGATATGGTCAATATCAACATTTAGAAAGTGTACATACATCTTATTGTAGGCAATACCTCGGTATAGGTAAAAATGCTCCAACTTGTACAGTATTAGGGGATTGTGGGAGGCTACCCTTATTTTGTTACCATGTTAAAAGATGTGTGAAATATTGGATAAAAATTACTAGCATAGATGAAAACTGATTACCTTAAAAAGCTTACCGGATGCTACTTTCACTGGACGAAAAAAGACAAAGGTCATGGGCCACAGACATTAAAGAATTGATATTTAAATATGAATTTGGTTATGTCTGGTTTAATCAAAGGGTGGGGGACTCTGATATGTTCTTGTACAAATGTTGTGAACGGGTCAAAGATATTGTAATTACAAATTGGTATATAGACGTTTGTTCTGGTAAAAAAACGCTGTATTATAGGCAAAACAAAACATATTTTGGGATAAAAAATTGTAAACTATGTGTCATTGCCACAATTAAAAGAGCAATAGCAAGACTAAGATGTGCGTGTCATCCCTTAGAAATAGAAAGAGGCAGACATGATAATATCCATAGAGAGGGCCGTATTTGTCATTTGTGCCTGCAAGAAATTGATGATGAATACCATTTTTTTACTAAAATGCACTGAATGGAATACAATCAGGAAAAAGTATCTCCCAAATGAGATACAACTCCCAAATTTGAATACTCTGGTACAACTTTTAAGTTTCTCTAAAAGCTAAATCATTAACTCCCCTTAGCTCTATTTATTTATAAGTGTTTTTAATCAAAGATCAAATGAGAATAACCTAATAAGCTTGTATGTATATATATATATATATATATATATATATTAATATCCCTATCACATAATATATCTTCATCTATATTTTCATACATATTTTGTAATGTAAATTTATTTCTTGTCAATAATTACTTTGTATGATTGTAATGGGCCGGAGGCCATTAAACAATTAATAAAATTATTAATTATACTAAAATATTTAAAGAAATTGCCTTCAACTAGTGTGAAAAACTTCTAATGTGCTATTTGTAACATTTGCACAACATTGTTTATAACAGTAAAGGGTAAACAATTCTTTAATATAATACACTTCTTCGAGATTTATCAATTATTTCATGATTTGTGTTATATATCTAATCGGAGTATTAAACCTTAATGATTCAACTCACAAAGCACTCAAATTTTAGACAGGGAGTATGCCATAGTTAGGAAATGTATATTAAACTTTTAACATGTTTAAATAAGAATAATTAAAGTCAACAGCGTTATAATATGGGTATACGGGAATAGAATTATAATTTTAGATCATAAGCTGGTTTATGCACGTTTGAGCTGTTTAAACTATGTAAAATTGTATTTGCTTTCATAATATCTTCATCCAGTTGCTTGTGCATTTCTTCGTTGTATGGATCAAACGTGAAGTATTCCGTATGGTTGCGATGATATCTGCCTTCCAATTGGGTTTGTACACATGCAAGCCTCTTTGAAGTCAGTGTTAAATTGAGAAACCTTAACATTCTGTTTAAATGATGTAGCGGATTGTTACTCAAATCTTCGTAGTGTACAATCAAAAATCGTTTTTTGGACTCCACCCACGTCACAAGAAGTCTCAACCACCTCTGACGTTGCTTGTGAAAAAAGTCAATCCAGTCTGCATCTGCGAAACAGCATAGTATATCGAAGTAACAGATTAGTAACTTGGATGCATTGTAAATAATGCACACAAACAAGCGTAAAGATTGTATATAGAGAAGCAGCACAATATCACAAAAGGCGATGTACGGATTGTACTTGATATTTAGAAATTGAACATACTCACTATTTTTGAAAACTTCAATGGTAAGAGTGGGATTCCCCATAAATCCGTACTTTTTAAATAGGTAAAATGATATAAGAGAATCATATGGGTTCCTAATGATCAAAATACCAGAGGCAAATCTGTCACTGTAGCCATGGCTTTTATAGACCACTGCCCGTCCGAGGCTGGGATCATCAATCTCCCCAACAAATCCTATAATAATACATGGTTATATTAATGAAGATATAGATTGCATTTCTAAGTAATCAAGTGTATTCTAAATATATAAATACAACGCATTACTACCAGCAATGTAAAATACATACCTCCAGCATACAGTCCTGCTGCATTGTACAGGGAACCTGTATATATCCCAGTAGCAACTTCAAGCAAATGGCGTGTCCATGTATTTCCTGACCTGGGAAAACTTGTTAATCCAACCATATCTCTTGAACCATTTAACCAGTTTCCATAGTCGATAGTGCAATTGTCTACCTTTTCTTCAAAATATAATGACATGATGTAGCAAAATAAGCATATCGCTATAACTGATCTATAGATTATTCATGTTTATGCAGCATGTAGCGGGAAATAATAATATTATTATCGAAACATTACAAACTTGTGATATATATGATAACACAAAAAAATCTAACTGATCATTTCAAATAAGTTCATTATGGTGTAAAAATTTGAGTGTCATAGACTTATAATGTTGGGTTGGGTTGAATGCACTTACCTATCAATCCACTTGAGCAATTACAGGCTGTTGGTCGAGGGCATTTTTTACTCTCGGTTGGGAGTGAATACAACTCAACGCTGACTGGCGCCGTGTGATTCTTTATGAATACTACTATTACCACAATACTTATCACCAATGCAAGCGTTAAATTTCGATTAAAAGCCATATGAAAAACCTGAAGGGAAAATCAATGTAAATTTGATTCAATATTTGTTTACTTAGTACAATATTTGAGCATATATATAATGTTGTGTGTAATGAATATGTCTATACAAATTCGGAAACTGTATTATATCTCAGTACACATTATAATCTTTGGAAACTGCATTATTTTATGGCCGATTTATGATATCTGGTGACAACCTGAGTTCACATTTACAATGCGAATCAGTACAGTAACTTTGATGTCTGATCAGTGTTTTGGTTTTTGATAGACTCCACAAAGATGAACTGGTAAAGCAATTACATTTTCTAAGCTGGCGCACCAACACCAGCTGATCCAAGATAGTCACACAAAAACAATTATTTATATTTGGTAAAAATGTTAAAAGCATAGAAAGCTGGTCCAAAGGTTTCTCGGCTTAACATAAACAGCGTTAATCTTTATGGCACAGGCAATGACACATATAGTATAATACAATATGTTAGTTGTGTCCATGTTTAGGCCACCAATACATATATTAGTCAAGACAAATTCTCATGTTATACGTTGTAGTGCCGGGTTGACTGACACTTTCTTAACGTGATTGGGGATTTGATAAAGTAGTGTTAATTTGAAAATAAATATTATCAACTATTGCATATTTCACATGTATTGTTGTTCTGTTCAACCCCTCACACCACACACAATATATTAAAATATAAACAAACGCTGCGGCCATCACCTGAACTTACCACCTGAAATACTAGTTTTACAAACAATTGTATGTTACTTTCAGAGTCGATGTACACAATAATTAGTTGACTTCAGTTTTTAGACGGGTGGCAGGATTAATACTTACTTCTTAGACGGCCTCCTAAATTTCGTTGGATAAAAGTTAGTTTCCTAGAGCGAGGTGAAAGCTTGAATATTTTTTCATCAGATCGTTTTTTTTTGTAAGCGATAGATCTCACAAGACTTGATACTGTAATTACACTATCACACCATAAAATATGACAGCTGTTTGCTGTGTTGAAATCGTTTGTAACACAGAAAGCTGGTCTCACAGCTTAGCATAACATCAACAGGCGTAATTTACATGTATCGCGGTGTTCAACCATTCAACATGAATCTGCACTATCTTTATATTATAAAGTTTTAGGTGAATGCTCGTGTCGAATTAATGTTATACTCGTATATACTATTTTACAGCAGGGGTGTTGGCAGGGCGGCGGTCTTAGATTGTCTGTCCGTACACTTGTATATGATAGCGTGGCTTAGAGTTCATATACATTGTCATAAATCCAAAATGAAATGTTCATACTGAGTTTCAATGAAATCGGTTAAAACCAAAATGTTGTTATGAACAAAGATTTTACACGAGGTGAGAATACCTCGATACTGGCTTGTAGCTATGACAACGGTTGGATCGTACTGATGTTGATGGCAAGCAAATCATTATTATTATTTAGGTTTAAATCATTTGTTGGGGAATTGTTTTTATTGGTCCCACTTATGACTTGAACAAGTATGTACATTCAATAATTAAGTGCCCCACGCACGCACTGTTATTTCGTGCAATATTGTGACAAATATCCGAACATACATGTATATCTAAAAAGAGTAGTGCATTTGCTCTACATCGAAGCTCTAATTTGTAGCAAAAAACACATGATGTAACGTGTATATTTATAATTTGTATTCATCCGCTCTTGTAATCTAACATACACTTGAATTAAATCAAAATAATTACATTAATCGCACGCCATTTATTAAATATCTGCAGTCTGAGCTTGTATACACCTTAAATAATAAACCATGTACGCCAGATATATGTGTCTCCTACACTGCAGTGAGCTCTCTAGAGGGGCGGACACGCTGGACCAAAGAATCTGTCTGCTCGTTAGTGGGTGCATTTCCCGCTTAACATCAAGCATTCAAATGTATGACATGAACGTATCCCAAACACTCAAATGAGACATGCTTGTAATAAACAGTTTTAATTTTGTTTCAATACTTGAATTTAGTAAACAATTCACTGTAAATCAAAGACCATCGCAATTTGTTGCAATCACGTTGAACCACGTATTTTGTAAGAAGTGGTGGAATTGTGCTGGTGGCTTTCAAAATTTAGCATAATTGCCGAGCGAAGATTCTATTATGTGGTCATAGATTGTTTTGTTCACGTTTTAAGTCCGTGGGTACTACAATACTAGCTTTTATGGAGATAACTGTCAGCAAATAATTAAAATATTAAAAAAAATACACACACATCACATGACATCACATCACTATGATTATCTTTAACGACAGTGCATGATATTTGTCATGTTGTACAAAATAGCTGGGGATAACAAATACAAATATGCGTTGTGAAATGATGAACACTTGCAAAACGTCATTTGGAAGACTTGTATTACTCAGGTCTGTAATATAAGACTTTAATTAAAACGGCATGCTGTTTGCCAGCCTGTCATGTGGCAGCATCCGTCATATAATTAGGCTAATGAGATTATAATGAGATTATAATTGTAATAATACCGCGACCTGATGTCACTTTTTTTAAAAATCACTGTGTTAAATAACTAAACTTACTTGTAGATCAAGCTCAAAAATATTTAGTTTCAAGTTCATATGAATATGCCATTTGAATATAATCACTAAATTTAGCATATTCGAATTCAACGTTCATCATTTATTATATAGGTTTAATACTTTGTACAATTTAATTTAAGTTGATAAAGAAATTTAATATATTACTGCCCGAAAATGGGCGTCTGTGCAGATGATCGTTTACCCGACGTTAGGAGCGCAAATTTACTTCTTTTGCGAGGGGAATAACGCCCATATTCGGGCTGTAATATTTTTATTACATGCCTTTAATAACATAAAGAATACAGGGTTTATATCGTAATGTTTACTGTTCTATTCTTACTGTTAAAAAGGTACATTTTTCATAAGCAGTAACACAGTGTTGCATGCAGTCGTGTTAATTGATAAGTTTGGCACTGCGGATGAATATGTTTACGCACCCTGTTAACCGGCTCCCTTGACAACCTGCAGACGATAATGCCTGTAGCAGACGAAATTGATATTATGCAGTGGTTGCGGTCGGCACCAGCACCAGAAAATGAAGTACCAGACGAAGAAGACGGTTTTATAAAAGCACCGCAGAAGCAAAGTACCGTTAAAACCACCGAACATGATGTCCGCTGTACCGAGTGGCTAACTCAGAATACCGGAGAATTGCGGCGCCTCGTTGCTATTGACGACGGTCCGTACATGGCTCACGGGTCCGAAAAATTCCATATTCTAAAGCATGTGTTTGATTGGCGAGCGGATGAAGACATGTAATAACACACATAAATAAACACATAAATTAGCCAGTACTTTCCGTTATATTGTATGACTGTCGATTTCGATTGTCGACTGTGGACTTATTATACTTTGGTATTTCCATGGTATTTAGCATGGTATTACGAGGATAATACACCTTCAATTGTGTTACGTATACAATGCGCTCAATTTGACCAATAGCAATTTTGGTGATACTATAATTATTATTATAATTAGTATTATTATGCAAACACGACTATATGGTCTGTATTAATAACTGAAGTGGAGATTACAAGGTACAGTTTCCAATGACATTACTACTTATCACATATGTGACAACAAAATGTATCAAGCACATTTTCATACAGAACGTCAACGCAGTATGTAAAACACATCTGTAAACACCAATTTACAATTTGTGCTAGTGGCCAACAAGTATTTCGTTCTGAAAACAGGCTCATATTTCCCAACCTTTGTACATACATCGAATTATAAAACATGCTTAGTCTTAATCTAGCCATCTGACTGACTAAAGCAAGGTGTTATATCTATCACAGAACTGAATATTATGGTTAAATTTTGTATATGAATGGATTGCATAGTAAATGTTAAATAAGATCAACTGGCGCAAATAGTATTGTAATTAGTAATACCTGAAACAAAAAATTGCAATTACAAATACTAAATCATGTACTTTTACTTTCGTTTATGAGTGGGAACAGTCATGCTTGCCAGTTTGGCAAAAAATAGGTGAAATATTCAAGAAATATCTTTTCTTGTGCCTTGTTCATTACACGTTTAATAATTATCTAATCAGAATACATATTTTGATTCCAATTGCACAATCCTAAATTTCAATTCATTTCAGAAAATCGTTTCATAATATATATCACAAAGTATTAGGGTTGAATTGGCATGTGAAAACAAATATTATAAACAAATATCAGATACGTTGTAATTTATGTATGGTCGTTTGTCTGCAATTACATAAATTCTGTTCTTTCATCTGTAATTAAATATTATGTAAACACATAATATTCAGACGACAAATACGTGCTATAAATTATACACTCAAGTGTGTTATCTGCTTATTTATTAAGGGAAGCATACATTATCAAACTTGGTTAAAGTGTAGCAAATATGGTCATTTAATACCATATCACTTGTCCAATACCATCATTGTGTCACTGATTTTATGTATATTATTAATATTATTAGTGAGATATTGCATAATAATAAGGCTACATGACTGTATATGATGATCTGTTATATTTGTCATATTTATTGACCAATGTAGCTTTTGTTCCATATCCTTATTATCATCATTGATTCTGATATTGCAGATATGCAAATTAATGAGATACATGTCCCTACAATCCCTAAAAATGTAATTAGCAAAGGTAACGGTAATTAGCAAATTTAATTTGTTTCACAAAAACGATGTTGCCAGCCATACCAGGTGATTTGGGAAGATGAATTTCACAGAGTATATTTTTCTAGCAAAGTAGAACTACAAGCAATAATGTCACGTAGATTAAACAAGAGGTTATGAACTAGTTGATAACACAACAACATTGTATTACGAATGAAGTGGTAAGATACTGTCTTGCGTGTAGTTTACTCTTTATCTGACGCGTAATGTTATTGACAAGTAAAATTACATGTACATACTGGTAATTATTATATGATTATTATAAAGACATACATATTGCCTTCTGTCATTTATTGGATTGAATTAGCTGCCATTATTCAACGCAATTTGATCCACAATTGTACATATTTGCATATATAATCTATGTCAGATTGTACTGAACATTTAGGTATTTTATGTTTGCTCTGTTCAATACCTGGCGTACTGATGGGAACCCAGGCCCCCCAGGCTCATTTTAAAAATGGCGGACGTAGTCATGAGACTAGTCATATTGATCTACATGTGCTGGTTGATTCGTTTTTTATTTCGGATAACTGGTGATTAATCTTGATCCAACATTGATTCAACATGCCATTAACTCTTATCCCTGATATTCTGGTCTTGTTTTGTTTAAAGTAGTTTAATGACTTCGTGTAATTTTTCAAAATTTGAATCAGCTTTACTGTGTTTTACTTTTCATTATTATTGTCAGCTCAAGCATATGGCGTTAACGGAATTGGTTAACCGATGCAATACGGTTCAGGGTTATAAATATTTTTCGAAGTTTATGGGACGGAAGATAACAATTAACACAGCAATTAGCAATCAACAACGCATTACGTATGACAGATGTGTTGTTAGTTGTTTAAATTCATGGAAATTTATATTAAAAATGATTACAAATGTGTATCAAAATGTTAAAATACTCCTACTTTCAGTACAATGAAAATATTGTTTGGAAAATTCATCTCAAATATGCAAATATATATTATTACAATGTCCAGGTATTATAATGTTTTACCCTAAAAAGAAGAATTGTGTCAAATATGAATGCAACTGAAAGTGAAGAGTAATCAAATGACGATTGTACATCGACAGTACAATAGTCTATCGATACCATATATATATGACAGCCAAACCTCGCAAAAATATTTACCAGAATTACCATTTCAGGCAAGTATCATATTAGAAGTTTCAACAGACAGTCAATCGTATCAAATTATATCAGCTCGTAATGCTGACTGTTTCAAATCACGTACAACTCGCCATGAGCGATAGATCATCTTGCTTAACAATGGTAAAACCAGTCTTCATATGAATATTAGGCTTCATATCAAGTCTTTCACACTTTCAATTTTTTGTAAATCCTGGAAAAGTGTGTATATTATGAGGGGGGAATTCTTCTCTTCTGGGGTTCTCCACACGTGTCAGGGGGGGGGGGGAACTCGTCTGGCCTCTATATCGCGTCCCCTTGAGGTACGGTATCGGGAACGTCACTTAAACTTTTTACAGTCAAATAGACGCACACAACAAAATACGTTTCAACTCTCGTCTTTAGTCGGTCAGTAGAGTACTCTATAAGACACAGCGCCTTGGGGAAAAGTCCCCGAGACTATCGCAACGCTGGCCCAAGACTCTTCTAGACTGCGTCTTAAGACTCACTCTAGACTAGACTGCGTCTCAAAATTGCGTCTCTCCTCGTGTACTCGCCAAGACCAACTAAAAACAACTTTATTCACTTTCAAAACCTCAACCAATTACAAAGCAGTAAAAAGACTCTAGGGCGTAACCTTCAATCATACAGCCAATCACACTAAGTACTGAACACGTCATATCGTTTGATTAATTGTTCACTATATTAGTAACTGTGAATATCAACTGTCAGAAATAGTAGTCCGAATAGCGACGGTATATCGTAATTAGTTCCAAATCACTGAGTCTGGGACCTCGCATGAGCCTAAACGATGACAGACATAACACGGCCATTCGCTAGTAATCAGCTAAATAAGTCGATCAACAGATAAATTCATCACAAAATAAATTCATCACAATATAATACTGTGGTACATTAATAATGCAATAAATATATAAAGATCACAGAGAGAAGTAATACATATTGTAATTTTTCATATTCGAGCATTTCAAATGAATTGGACGAAGCAATTACAATGTAACACCAGATCGCTGTAACTAACTAATCATTAAAATGCAATGTTCAGATAGACGAAGTAAGTTCAGCAAACCCAATTAAACTGCCAATCAGAGCAATCTTGGCTGCACTGGTTCAGTAAACCTTGAGAAAAATACATCTAACTTAACTTGTATGTGTGTGTGGTACCGGCAAGTGACATTGCTTTCAAAATAATCAAGTCACAAACTAGTCGTAATTGGAATAAGTGGTGCATTGTACAATACTTCTGTGTTGGGCTGTCGAATTGAAATCATGTACCATCTCGTGCGTTTTTTAAGTAAACTCCAAAAATTTGAGATTCATCATGTATCAATCACTCAACTAAACACTACGGTATGGCAAATGAATTCATTGGGAAATACACTTCCAAGTATTTACTGCTGAAAGTTTATGTACGATAGCTGGTAGCCTATATTAATATGAGTTGTATACAAAGAATACTAATTTCCAAACTCTATGAATGCGAAATTTGACCTTTAGCTATTAAGCATAGCAGACTTTCTTAATACATGTTCAATGGCTATACTTCAAAATAATAAACAATATGTAATTTAATATATATATGATGATATATTATACTCATTATTGTAAGTAACATATGATGCACTGGAATATTGTATAGAGCCTAATAACGGTAATTCAAATTATCACGCGATATCTTTTGACCCAGTGCTATTATGAGACCCCAGTGTCAACAAATGACAAGACACACTGAGAGAAACTCTGAATCCAGAC